TTAGATCATTTGTCCAGCATAGTGGCTGTTAGTGGTCAAATTGAGCAAAGAATCTGATGTGCTTCCAGGACTATCAGTTGAAAACTGCTTATGTCTTAAAAAATAAAAAAAATAAAATCAAGTTCTATATGTCAAACTGAACTTTCTAACACAGAATTCAGGCTACTGTCATCTCTCTCTGAGAACAATTTCACATAGCCTCCCGAGGTTACCCCAAATCTTCTGCACCCACAGTCAGCGCTCCACACTTGTCCTATTACTATTTAAATCATACTATGTCTGGGCGCCTGGGTGGCTCAGTCGGTTAAGCGTCCGACTTCACCTCAGGTCATGATCTCACAGTTCGTGGGTTCAAGCCCCGCATTGGGCTCTGTGCTGACAGCTCAGAGCCTGAAGCCCACTTCAGATTCTGTATCTCCCTCTCTCTGTGACTCTCTCATGCTCACACTGTCTCTCTCTCAGAAATAAATAAAACATTAAAAAAATAGATTAAAAAAATAAATCATACTATGTCACTCCCTTTTTTCCAGTCACACCAAGATTAAAATCTACCACAGCCTACAGGACTCTAGGTGATGATACAGTTCCTGGCCACACCCAAAGCCTCATTTCCACCTTTTCCCCTCACTCATGCATTTTCACAGCATTGTCCTCATTGTTAATTTATCTTTTTTCAATTTACAAAACATGTTGCCATCTGGGCTCTCGCAATGTCTGCAGTGTACTTCTCCAAGATATTTGGCTCACTTTCTCATTTCATGAAATTATCTGATCAATGCCCCCTTTCAGAGAAGAATTTTCTGATCATTTTCATCATGCCCTATCCCCCTATTCTGTGTTAGTTTTTCCTCCCAGCATTTATCACTAACTGATAGAATATAAGCTCCCATCAGGGCAAAGATATTTTGTGTTCACCACTATGATCCCAAGAACATTGCCAGAAACATATATAGAAGTGAAAAAGTATATGTTGAATTCATTAATTTATGGGTGCAAATATTAAATCAGTCAAATTTAGTCATGTTTAAGTTTATAACTTTGATGTTACTTATTCATAATCCATTTACTCCTCCTTCTGAAATACTTTCTCTTTTGAAATGCTATCCCTTTCCAACAAATGTGAATTCAGTAAAAACTACCTATAAAAATGTACTGCCCCCTCACCAGTTATCTAAGGGGTGTGTACAAAAACAAACTACAAAAATCTGGCTCCTTATCCCTGAAACCAAAGTGTGAGCCTAAAAACTCTCAAAAATACTTGTAGCTGATTGAGTCCAGTGTTGTATCTTGAGAAGACATCCAGGTTATCTAGTTCATATCAACTCCAGCATCTAGTAGTTCTATTTTGGGAGCTACCCAATATTCTTCCATAGGTTTCCCCTCCCCCCACCATCCTGTTTTGTTTGTTTGTTTTAATTAACCAGAATTAGTTTCTATTGCTTCCGATCCAAAATCCTAACTAACACCCATGACAAACTTATATTCAATCCAATATGCCCTAAAATAGTAATAATAAAAAAATAACAGAAAGTCTCCCAACTCTTTTTTCTCTCTCTCATCTTTCCCTCTCAGTCTGTTCTCCACACATACTTCCCAATTATACAGGATCCTTTAGTTACTCAAATCCCACCTCTCTGGAGACATTATCCAGACATGCCCTTTCCGATGATTTTAATGTTTCAAGTCATTTATCCTTCCTCTCAACTAGCATTGTTTACTCGAAGCTGACAAATTAAAGTAGAACTTAAGTAATCAATATGATTAAATCAAATCTCAATAAGTTATCAATAGCTTCTTAATCTCACCATGCATATTTGCATTTCTTTAAAAAGAGGCTACTGTTGGGGCGCCTGAGTGGCTCAGTCAGTTAAGCATCCGACTTTTGCTTAGGTCATGATCTCACGGTTCGTGGGTTCGAGCCCCGCGTCGGGCTCTGTGCTGACTGCCAGCTCAGAGCCTGGAGCCTGTTTCAGAGTCTGTGTCTCCCTCTCTCTCTGGCCCTCCCCTGCTCATGCTGTCTCTCTCTCTCTCCTAGAAATAAATAAAAAAAACATTAAAAAAATTTAAAAAAAAAATAAATAAAAAGAGGCTACTGTTATCAAAATTTGTTTGTTAAAATTTCAGGCAGGGTGACAAAGTGAAGAATTTTAGAAAGCAAAGGTAGCTACTTTTAAAAATGTGTTAAATCACATCACTAAAGCAGCCCATCGATCTGATCACAGTTCAATTAGAGATACAGAAAGACATGAAAATGTATCCATCAATAAACAGATTTTAGTTGAATTACTTTTGTGAGTAAAGCATATAGCCCCACTGCAAATGCTGAGTCACAGAAACTTATTATGTGACTAAATATTAGTAACATATCCTAAGTACCCCCTTTATCTCCTATTCCTGAGTTCTGGGAAATGGGGACAAAACCATTGATTAATTTCTAACCAATATAATATGACAAAGGCAATAGGAGATATAGGCCATTGATTAGATAATACAAAACTTCATCTTAGCAAAATAGGAGAGAGATTCTTCCTTGCTGGCTTTGAATATTTAAGTTTCCATGTTGTGGGAAACTCTGAGACAGGGTGATTCAGCAAGGATCTGTGGGCTTATAGGAACTGAAATGGGCCCTCAACTGAGTCAGGAAGAAAGTGGAGACTGCAGCCCTACAACCACAAGGAACTGAATTCTGCCAGCAACAGTCATAAACTTGGAAGAGGACCTCATGCTCCAGAAAGGAAAGTATCCCCACAAACTTCAATCAAACAAAAGCTTGATTGAAGCCTGTGAGACATGAGTAGAAGACCCAGCTAAGCCTTACCCAGAAAGATAATAAATGGATGTTGTTTTAAGCCATTACATTTATGATTATTTGTTACACAGTAATGGAAAATGAATACACTAGTGTACCAATGAAACAAGAAGATAAAAAGCATGTCTGGAGAAGAATAAATATAGACTGTGGATTTAGCACATGCAATGTTCTTTTACTGACTGGCTGATCATATCCAATTCAAAGGATTGATATTAGGATGAATCAGAATTTTATGCATAGAAATTAAGGCTTTGGATTAATATTAAACATAAAAGTGAGTTCTCCCCTCATTTACTCTGCCATTATGACTCAGTGAGTAACACAGCCCCACCCATTGGCAGCAGTCAAGACCTGCTACCTTCATTTAAATTTTTTTTAATGTTTTATTTATTTTTGAGAGAGAGAGACAATGTAAGCAGGGAAGGGTCAGAGAGAGAGGGAGATACAGAATCCGAAGCAGGCTCCCGGCTCTGAGCTAGCTGTCAGCATAGAGCCCTACGCGGCACTAGAACCCACGAACCATGAGATCATGACCTGAGCCAAAGTTGGACGCTTAACTGACTGAGCCACCCAAGCACCCCCATTTTAAAGAGTCATACTTGGCCAATTCTGAGCCACTGAAAGTGGGAGCTTGGAGTATTTCAGGATTTCCTCTATCTACCCACCCATTCTCTCACATGTGAGAGAGGGAGTGGGTTCTGGAAATTGCTACTTGTCTAGGGTATTTGGTGATTGGTTGTTAAATGGACTCCATGGAGATCCACATAGGAATGCAGCTGTAGGTTCTTTGCCTATTCTACTCTGTGTTTGGATCTCCTTCTACCATGACACCTGCTTTAGTCTATTGCTAACATGGTACAGGGCTTTCATCCATTTGTAGTTTCCATCCTGACTTCAACCTAGATTTACCTTAGTATTTTACCACCTTGCCAGGAAACCAGAGCTGCTCAAGCTCCTCCTGCATCTTATATAAGAACCTTTACTATCTTGAAAGTGCTACCTTGTTATTTTCAGAAAAACAGAGATTACCTCACTGAAAATCCTCCAGCCCAGTACAATTTGAAATCATCAGTGAGTGATTCACAGGTTTCTAGACACTTAAAAAATTTAATTCAATATAATTTTTGTCAGCATTATGGTTTAATGGAATGAAAATGGCTATAGCTCCAGTAAGTTGGAGTGCTTTAGAGAAGTAATGCTTTCTACCAAAGCATATTTTTAACGTATTCACTGAACACATTCTCATTAAATTTTCTATTTTTACAGCTTACCAGTTTAATTATACCCCTGTATGGCAGGTGGTTATGATTTCCTTCTCCACAATTCCCTCACACCTACTTTCTTATAAAGAGACTAGAAATTGCTGTGTTTATTTCATTGTTGATACTATAAGTAAAAGCATCAGAAATTTGACTATTCTCATATTTCCTGGAAGTTCTGACCGAGCATATTTTCTCAAATTTGCAATGACAATTTTGAAGAAAAGTGCTTATAGCATAGAATTCTTAGTGTATTCCTCCAAATATAAATGCCAGATTTTTTATTTTCTCATTTCGTGCTACTGTTTTTTTCTTTCAGGCATAATTTTAGTCTTTTTTCTCTTCATTTTCTTTGTGTTGTCAATCAGCATTCCATTATCACATTTTCCCATGGTCTCATTTCAACTTTAATTTCATTCACAAATCCAATACCATATGCGGTAACCAACCTCCACCCAGATTTAATCCTTCCTCTCTTCTTCTTCTTCAGGCACTTGTGCCTCAACCATAGTGCAAAGTATTCCAAGAAGTTAAAAATAATATAAGGTAAATTTATTTAAAAGCTGTGCAATGGGGAAGAGAGTTAAAATTCTGTGAAGGACTGACAAACCATAAATTGATGAACTCTTAAACATAATTTTGATTTAATACAATCAGTAAATAACACCTATTTTGCTTGCAACTTAAAATTAAAATGATGTGCCACAATTGGATATATTGCCAATATATCCATGATATGCCATGAAGGTTGAATTGATGAAGACTGCATTCACCTAGAAACAGTCTTCATTTCTACTTCTCCTGAATAAACCACTAGTGGTAGATTACAACTTAAAGCACACTTAGCTGCAAACAACTATGATTAAAAAAAAAAAAGTGGCGCTATTCAAAAGTATTATTCAAGATGTAATATATTAAAAAATACTTACAATTTCTTTAAAATACTCAGTAATTCCACTAACTTCTCTTCAAGATTTTTTGGTTCATATGAAGTAAGACCACCACGTGCTTTTTTAACATGGATAGCTATATTGTGAGAATCATCAGGCTTTGGGGGTTGAAGTTCTTCTGTGTCTTCAGTAGGTTCTCTGAACAAAGGAACATAACAGATTGTGGTGTTATATATTATACAAAAATGACTGACATGGGGCGCCTGAGTGGCTCAGTCAGTTAAGATTTCAGCTCAGGTCATTATATCATAGCTTGTTGAGTTCAAGCCCTGCATTGGGCTCTGTGATAATAGAGTACAGAGCCTACAGAGGCTACTTGGGATTCTCTATCTCTGCTCCTACACACTCTCTCTCTCTCCTGCGTGCACTCTCTCTGACTCTCGTGCACTCTCTCTGTCTCTCTCTATCTCTCTCAATAATAAATAAACTTAAAAAAAAGAAGGATGCTATGGCATCCCTTCCTCTAAAAACAATGAGTGTCTTGAACCCTTAATTCACTGTTAAGAGCAGAAATGCATTGTTGTAAGATAATTTGGTATTTTAATAATGTATGCCTTTTCAGTGCCCAATCATCAGTAGTGCTATTACATACATCTACCTAAAAGCGGACATACATAAAATACTTTCTATATTCAGAACCTGATTAACTGTCTTATTATTAATAACTGTGTTATTAACTGTCTTAAGTGATTAAATCATCTTTTGAAATTAAATATACATAACTTAGTAAATATTTGAAGTCAACAGTCGATATCCTTCTTTTTAGAGCCATATACTTGTTTTTCGGTGTTTCCTTCACACCAATAATAAAACTATTTTAAAAACTTTTGTTTCCATGGGGCACCCGGGTGGCTTAGTCGGTTAAGCATCTGACTTTCGCTCAGGTCATGATCTCACGGTTCGTGGGTTCGAGCCCCGTGTCGGGCTCTGTGCTGACTGCCAGCTCAGAGCCTGGAGCCTGTTTCAGATTCTGTCACTCCCTCTCTCTCTGACCCTCCCCTGCTCAAGCTGTCTCTCTCTCCTAGAAATAAATAAATAAGACATTAAAAAATGAAAAAACATTAAAAAAAAATAACTTTTGTTTCCAACTGGTAAATTGTGAACATCTTGAAAGCAGCCATTGTTCTTTATTCTTGTGTTAGGAGATGTATGGCTGAATGACCATTTCCCATTCATTTTTCTAGTTCCAAGCATTTCTATTAAGTAAAGTCCTAAAAAGCCAAAAGTAAAACAGTAAAATGCTGTCATCCTTAAGAATAAAGCAATGTGGAGGAGATGATAAAAGCCCAAATGATCATAGATTACTGACCTGTAATTATATACATGAGAATACTAAAATTGTACTTAAATATAATCTTATACTACATGGGATAATAATAATAATAGTAAATAATCACCTTAGTATCTAATATACATTTGAGGTTTTATGCTGGTTGTTCTGCTAAACATTATATGCACATATCTCATTAATATTAGCCATGTGAAATAAATAATATTATCCTACATTGATAAGAAAATTACAGGTCAAAGAGTTTGTATAATCTGTCTTGCCTCTCATGGCTAGTATACCTGGAGTTTCTTTAATCTACCTAAAATTTGCAGATGTTAAAGCTTAGTAATAAAGCTTACTTAATATATACAGAAAGAAGATAGCCTAGATTAACTTACAAAGATAAAATTAAAAGCCAACATCCATTTCCCCTTCTATCACTTTTACAGAACCTCAAACATTCCTGCCATACCTAGAACCCCACTTAAAACTTGATCCCTACTTACTCTCATAAATAATAAGCACAGTAAAATTCAGCAATGATGAGAATTCAGGTATATAGCAATTTGTATTTCTATACTCAGCCTGGATGCTAACATGCAAATGAAATGAAATTCTTATATTCTAGAAAGGAGAAGCCCATGAACTAGAGGGAAAAGTGAGGGTAGATATAGCCGACTTTGTAGAAAGAATATGGAAAGTGAGTCCCCATGAACCTAGTATTCTTCTGGCCCAATTTCATCATATTTGCCCAAAGTGGATAACTCCTAAATTTTCTACTTTATATTGTAAATCTCAAATTAGCCAAAGGATTCAGAATAGTCCGCAATTACATTTTAGCTTCTTGAAATTAACCAGGAGATACTAAACCACCAAAAGCAACATAAACAAATAGGTAGTCAGACACATTAATTGATTAGTTGATTAAATTGTGCCCTATACTCTTCAGGAAATGGCAGAAAATTATCCTCATCATTATACAGCAAAACTAGCAATAATACAATATATTAAATATGTATAATACATATAAAGATAATATGGATAATTTCATGCTAATAAATTTGAAAGCTTAGATGAGATAAATCACAGTAAAAGTACAAAGTACCATATGGATAACAAGAAGAAAATTTGAATTGTTCTAAAGATTTTAAAGAATATAACTAATAAATAAGAATCTTTCTGCAAAGAAACTCCTGGCCAAAAGGGCCTCAATGATTAATTCTAACAAACTCCTAATAGATAAATAAACCCAAATACTTTCAGAAAATACAAAAGACAGCTATACTTTCCAGCTAGTATTATGAGCCAGTATCATTGAATATAGATGTAAAATCCTAAGCAAAATATTAATAAACTGAATTCAGTAATAATTTTATAAGACAGTAAAGCATAGCCTAGTTGAAACTATGCCAGGAACACTATTTCATGAATGTTGTTCAACACATTAATGGAATAAAATAAATCATGATTATCTCAACTTTTCTTATGATAAAATAATCATGTGTAATATAAACTCCTACAAAACTAGAAATAGAAAATTTTTTTAGAGAAAGAGAGCATGCAAGTAGGGGAGAGGAACAAAGAGAGAGAGAAGAGAATCTTAAGTAGGCTCCATACTCAGTGTGAAACCCACACAGGCCTTGATCCCACAACTCTGGGTTCATGACCTGAGCCAAAATCAAGAGTCAGATGCTCAGACTGACCCAGGCAACCCGAAGTGAACCTTCTTAATATGACAAGAGACAAAAATCAGTTGTATTTCTGCTTCCTTACTATCTTATTTTTTAATGCCACTTAGTTTTATTGCAATATACCTAAAATATACATAATTCAGCAAGGAATAAGTGATGACAGCATCAGTAAAAATGCCTTCAAAAGTTTCCCCCATTTCCTCATAAGACACATATGTGGGTTACAAAGATGGTGACCCACCTACTTAAGATGAGGTCTTATCATGTCATGTACAGCCGTAATATGACCAGGACTTCACCCATGCAACATCCGATGCAACCACATAACACTGGCCATCAGTGGACAGGGCAGCCAGTTATCTTCCTGGGCAACAAGGTCTCAGGACAGTTTGCTTATCCAATATGTTCCTTACTATCTAATGGAGGAAGGCACTAGTAGATTAATCAGTCTCTAAATGTGCTATTGAAAATTGTTAAAAGTGATATGAAGAATTTATACATGTTGTGAAAAACAACTATAGGATACTTATAAGAATGTAAAAATAGGTGACCTATTTTGCTTGCCAGGAAAAGACTATGTCTCTCAGAGAGAGAGTTAAACTGGTATATAAGATTAAAAAAAAAAGAATATTCCAGGAAGAAGATATAAGGAATTTTCCTGAAGAAATTTCTAAAGATGTTAATTTCTGCTCAAAAATATTTTGACCCTGGGGCACCTGGGTGGCTCAGTCGGTTGTGTCTGACTCTTGATTTCAGCTCAGATCATGATATCACAGTTTCTTGAGTTTGAGCCCCACAGTGGGCTCTGTGCTGGCAGCACGGAGCCTGCCTGGGATTCTCTCTCTCTCCCTGTCTCTCTGCTCCTCCCTTACTTGTACTATCTCTGTCTCTCTCAAAATAAATAAATAAATTTAAAAAAATATATAGGAGTGCCTGGGTGGCTCAGTTGGTTAAGCATCTGACTTTGGCTTGGGTCATGATCTAGCGGTTTGTAGGATCAAGCCCTGCATCGGGCTCTATGCTGACAGCTCGGAGCTCGGAGCCTGGAGCCTGCTTCAGATTCTGTGTCTCCCTCTCTCTCTCTGCCCCTCCTCTATTCGTTCTCTGTCTCTCTCTGTCATCAAAAATAAATAAACATTAAAAAAAATTAAAAAGAAAAAAATAAACTGTTATCTTTAAAAAAATATTTTGACCCTATCAAACAGACATAGCCACTGTACAATGGATTAATATTCTCTCTTAATCTTTTCAAACTTGTTTGATGTCACTGTATCTAATTAATTCTGAATTAATTTTTACTCAAGGAAAATGATAGGGATACATGAAATTATCTACAGAATTGGATGGTTACCATAACTAGAGAGTAATGAGGGAATTCTAGTTATTTCTCTGCTCTGACTTTTTAAGTTTTTTTGGTATTATTCCTATTGATTATTAAATTAAAAAATACATAATATATTGTAAGTTTAAAAGTAACAATAAAATGAGTGTTAATGTACCTACCCAGATTTTTAAAGTACCCATGGCACTATACAATTATTCTTCCATGGACAGATATATAGCACTCACACCAGAGACAACCACTACCCTTAATTTTGTTCCTATTATTCCTTTGGTTTTCATTATACAGATTAATGAAAAATATACGTATCCCTTTAAAAATCTAATTGATTTTAATTTTGCATATTTAGTTTTGCACTTGATAGAAATGAAGTGATTCTTACAAATTCTGTAACTTGCTTTTTTGTTGTTGTTCAACATTGTGCTTATGACATTTAATGACCATATTTCATTCATTTTAATGTTCTATAAGATTTCATTATATTTATGTACCACAAAGGGTATTTTCTTAGTCTGTAGGTGACTAGGATTTTTGTTTCCAGGTTTGTTCTGTTTTTTATCTCTTTGTTTACTATATACAAACTTGGCTACTATGACGGTCTTGGATATGCACAACTTCTCCAGGAATCAGAATTACTTTATGCACAACATGCATCCTTAATTATATTGTAATGTCAAATTGTTTTCTAAAATAGCTATAACAATAGCCAAGGTGTAAATTTCAGTTGATCTACATTCTGAGCACTACCTTATTTTGTGAATCTAATTGTAAGATATTGATCACTTTTCATGTGTTTATGGAATTATATTGACTATAGGAAATCACTAAGTTATTTAATTTCAAAGCAACCATAAAGAGAAAAAAATAAAAGATCACAATATCATTAAGATGTTATTTGCCTCTTTCTTGCTGTGTTGAAATTTAATCATGAAAAATAATGATGGGTAAAACTATTTGCTACTAAGAATGATTCAAAATAATAGGATGAAATATACCAGCAGTCAATGAATTCCTCATTGTCACATGCTTGCAATTTTTAAAAAGCCAAAAAAATTAATTTTCTTCTCAACCCTCAGACCCTGAGTACACTGCTTTGTAATATTCTGTGTGACAAAAGGAAAAGTACAGATAAAGCATTTTTGCAACATCTCAGAGATTTTTATCTCAAGTAAAAGTGAGTTATCTGACTGTATATGTCATATAACAACTAACTCAGTATTGTTATAACCATCCATTTATTTCACTCACTCCATATTTACTTGAAAGAATAGCCAAAAGACAAATATAATAAGTGACTTGTATATTTGGATACAACTTGGATGTTTGGAATGTATTTTATCAAAATGAGTGAAGTAAAGTTGTCACTTCAAATATACAGTATCCGCTGCTTAAAACAAAAGTTAAGCTATCAAGTAAAAATTTGATTTTTGGAAAACTTGTATCCACTTCTGTAAACTTGATACCTTCCTAACATGCAAGTCTTTTCTGCAGATCAGTGATTATATAAAAATTGCGATCTTGGGGCACCTGGGTGGCTCAGTCAGTTGAGCATCTGACACTTGATTTCACCTCAGGTCATGATCCTAGGGTCATGGAATTGAGCCCCGTGCTGAGTTCCACACTGAGCATGGAGCTTGCTTGGGATTTTCTCTCTTTCTTTCTATCTCTCTCTCTCTCTCCCTCTGCCCCTCTCCCACAACTTGTGCTCTCTCCCTCAAATAAAAAAAATATATAAATTAAAAAAAATTGTGATTCTATATATTATATAAGAAAACGTGTCAGCATTTGCAAGATCTACATAACCCAGTGAACCAATGTTTTTCAAATGGCCAATGTATATTACACAATCATGCATTAGTAAAAGAGCTATTCAGAGTGCAAAATAATAGTTTTTATAGACATCAATGTATTTAAATTCACCATATTAAAGATTTTTTTAAAAAGCCTCAGTAAATTCAGGCAATAGAGATTACCACCACTAACAAGAACATAAAATAAAACTTAGTATACATTATCTCATTCAATCCTTCAACATCACTGTAGAGTATGTAATATTGTCTCAATTTTAGATGAGAGACTAAGACTCAAAAATTTAGATAATCTTCTTAAGGTAACACAATTGCCAAATTGTAGAACTGAAACTCAAACCCAGATTTGATTAGTCCAGAGGCCATTACAATACTTTGCCACCTATGTATTCTTGAATTCTAACTCTTACAAACTTTTTAAACTTAGTCCCCCAAATCTTTCTGTAACCCAATCTCCCACTTTTTTGTAAATCCATATAAATTTTACTAGGAAGTAGTAAGAGCCAGAATAATATATGGGATCTTTCTTAAGATGTTTGCTACAGGAATCTTCAATCCTTTTTTTTTTTTTTTTTTTTTTTAGAAACTGAAGTCAGCGTGATTCATAAAAATACAAATAAATACAATCACTTTAAGTATATTACATTAACTCCATTTGTTAAGCTTAGCTTGATTATTACTAGGGCCAAACCAGGGAAATAATTATGGGCAAATTCCATCCCCAGGACATAAGTTTGTAAATTGCAAGCTTTGTCTTATGCTGAGCAAGAGTGCTGGCTTTGTCCTACACATTGCCAACATATCCAAAGTTAAAATTGAGGATTCAAAGACAAGTTCCTTATATACTCTTGACAGCAAACACTGGAATCCTGTCTTCTCATAATATAAGAAGAATATTCTAAGGTTAGAGAGAGGTAAGCAGTATTTCCCTGGTTTCTACCATATAGATGCATATGCCAAGCTCAGAGTCTCCTCTTTTCATTTCAAAAAAGCAATAGAAAATCCACAGGTACACATGAACAGTTGGACTTAACATGCATTCTATGGAATAAAGCAGCAATACATTTTTCATTAATATATGACACGCTATATGAAAATGCAAGAAAATCAAATTATTTCAAAAGGATCATTTGCCTACTAAATATTAATTGAAACTAAACAAGCTCAAATTTAAAAAGTTGGGATATCTAAAGACAACCTTGAATATAACAATATATTAATATATATTTATATATCATGCTCATTCTTGACTTATAACATAAATCCCACCTATTCACAATCCAATTCGATAGACATTTACTAAACTCCAAACCCAAACAAAGAAGCATATTTTATGTTTACTCTCTCAGCTCCCTGGTATGAATCATTTTAATTTTTCCATTTTAATTGCCCTACTTTTTCTACCCAGAGAACATTGATGAACTGGTCACATACCTGAGTGATTACAAATCTACATCATCTAATTTCTACTGATTGCTCATTTTTCTCAGCATTCTTTTATTTTTTTTAATTTTATAATCTTTATTTTTGAGAGAAAGAGAGAGAGAAAGACAGACAGAGCACAAGCAGGGGAAGGGGCAGAAAGAGAGGGAGACACATAATCTGGAGCAGGCTCCAGGCCTTGAGCTGTCAGCACAGAGCCCCACGCAGGGCTCAAACCCACATACCGTGAGATCATGACCTGAGCTGAAGTTGGGAGTTTAACGGACTGAGCTATCCAGGTGCCCCCTCAGCATTCTTAAATTAACTTTGTTAAACTCTTACACACTCACCTCAATGGCTTTTATCTACTCTCTTTTCCATCCCCATTTCCATATTCTATAGACAACCTTGCTTCAGTACCAGTTCTCTCTACCTGACCTTTGTATAGGAATTGATGACTACTGACTGTTGAGAAACAATAATAAAACATCATTCTAACCATTTAGCTATACTAAATGGTCACTCAAGCTGGACTTATTAAAGAAAAGAATTAAATTCAGAGAAAACATGGCCTGCAAATTTTAGAATTTCTCTTCCTGATTTCATAGTAATATCCTTGAAGAGATCTTAGCCTCATTAAGCTAATATAAGTAATGAATGAAGCATCTAGTTTTGGAGAATGGAAGGGTCAATTTGGAGACAGGGAAGCAAATTTCCTGCCACCAATAGTACACATTTGATAAACGGAATCTATAAGAAATTACATCAGCATTTATAATACTCCTCCAGTTGAACTCATAATTGAACCATGTGCACTACCTATCTCTTAACCGATGGTATCACATTTTTCCATTATCAGGATATTGGTCAGGAATTCTATGCAACACAAATTATGCCAGCTGGGATCTACTGGCCTCTTAAAATCTAGATAAGGTTCCATGCAAATCCATGGAAATACAAAGCTCTCCTTAAGAGTTCAACATTTTCCCAGATGACATTCTGATTTTACCTCTTCCACTGTGTTTCTTCTTAAATACTCTTTAATCCATGTCTTATTTATCCAGAAATAAAACCAACTTTGCCTATATTTCTTCAACCAAACTAAAATAAACCAAATATTTAGGAGTGTTTCTAAGTTCAATAGAGTTCATCAGACACAGGGGTTATCCTAAAGAGATTCTGTATCACATATAGCACATCTTAAATGTGTTCAACCCCATGCCTAAGAAAAATGGTTTCTCCTCACTCAGTGCACATTTCTCCAATTATTTCCTGGCTCCTCTTGCTTTTTGTTTGCCTCTTGTTTTCTCTGCCTTTCCTCACTCCTGAATAGCTCCACAACTCCAAGTTAGAATACCTCTACCCAAGTCAAAACAGTTCAACACCTATTCCCGGACAATTCCAACCAAAACTATAAGGAAGAAAGTGTCATGGAATAATCTACCATTCCTCAGTGGCAGTTGTAAACACGGAATGGCATTTTTTGACAATTCAAGACTTGAAACTTTCTTGTAACAGTTCACTCTAACACAGGGAAATCCTATGCACTTAGGCAATTTCTACAAATTGCCACCACTTTGCTATAGTAATGCCCCAGGCCATCCAGAGTTTCATTTTTATGGCACAGCAAAGGATTTAATTTGGGCCACAAAAGACATCAGGCCGTGGTTGAGGCAACTAGTTAGATTTCTATAAATTTCCCTCCCCTTCCCTTCATAGAATTCTCCAAAAGGTCCAAATATTGCTTTCATAAGCTAGCATGATAGTCTTTCATTTCACCCTTGCCTTTCTTCCTTTCTTTCTCATTCCTTTTTTCCTCTTCCTTTCTTCCTTTCTCCCTCCCTCCCTGCCTCCCTTTTTCTTTCCTTCCTTCCTTCCTTCCTTCCTTCTTTCCTTTCTCCCTTCCCTTCCTTTTTCTTTCTTCCCCTGTACTGCAAGCCATCACCACTATCATGTTGATATATATGGAAGAGATTATCTAAATATTTTGAAAAAAAATCCCCACAACTTTCTAGTGTCAACTACTAAACTGGGCAATTACTGTATCAGCCAAAATAGCTTTGCCAGCACTTGGATAATAAACAGTGTGAAGACCATCACATGCAGCTGTGTTTTTGTTTGTTTGTTTGTTTTGATTTGGTTTGGTTTTTTGGTTTGGTTTGGTTTGGTTTGGTTTTTGTCTCAGGGACTCTTTTCCTTCTTCTCATAGCCAACTCTTACTTATCCTTGAACTTCAACATCACTTCCTCAGGGATGTCTTGATTTTCTAGTACATTGTCTGCCATTATAACACTCAGTGCAAACCACCTCCCTCCCTCCCCCTGCCTTCGCTTTATCACTGCAGACACTTATTACACTTCATTTATTACTTCTTAGTGCCTGTTAGTACCTCCAAGCCATATACCTTCTTAGTATGAGACCCTGTGTCACTTGCATGTAACACATGGTCAATACTCAGTACATATTGTTTAAATGAATAAACAAATGATAAAGCATTATTATAAGGTTTCTTCTTCGATTATGTAAATTTTTGCATTCATTCTTAATGAAAAATAGTAAAACAGAATTATTACAATTCTGACTTAAAAATACACAGGAGCATCTCATTCAATATACCTCAGAACTTTATAAGGTTTTATAATCATAAAAAGGATAGTTTCCTTTGTTCTAATGTTAAATACATAATTTTCAAATACCCTGTGGTTAATTACCCTGAGGCCAGATTCAAGCTAGCATGAAATAACCACTACTTAGCTATAGCTGTAGCACATGGGTAATTTTCACAATGCTAGAGAATGAAATTGAGTCCAAATCTCAAAAGAACACCACAACTAAGAAAGCTGTAAAGATTTTTTTTTAAGTCAGTCCATCAGAATCCATTTGCTCTAGGTTTTCAGTAGCTTTATCTCCAAATATTCATCTTTATTTTCCAGCATTTTCTGCACTTACACTTTTAGAGAGAATTTATAATCCATCAAGGTAGCATGTGTACTATACCAAATAATTATTTTAAAATGTGTTTGGGAAAAATATATATATTACAGAGAAGTTCCACATCATTTTAACCCAGATCAAAGGTACATGTTGCTGTTGCTTTTAGATGTAGAAGTAAAATTTTGAGCTTCAATTCAAGCAGCCGAAATGTTCTAATCTCTTTAGAATCTAAAGTCCAAACTAAAGCATCAATTTTTTGCACAAAACATTCTTTGACAGCTTTTGGAGAAATAGGTAATTTGGCCAACTGAGCACACCAACTTCTGGGCCCATGAGAAATATCCCAGCAGACTTTTCTGGTTAGGATGCTTTATTTAGCACATTGAAAGATATTCTTAGTTAGATCTCAGGGTTGGTGGACAGGAAGCACAGTAGCACACTGCCAAAATCCTTTAACTCTTCCTAGGTTATTCAGTTTTAAGTTATATAACACAAGCTAAGTTAAAATGGTTTTACTAAACATTACCATTAGCTGGTTATAAACCTGTTATAATCTGTTATAAGTTATAAGCCTAGAAATCCCTTCTAAACAGAGCAACTTACTCTTTCTTCTTTGTCCTTTTTTGATCCTATGCCTAATTAGAATTAAATCATTTAGGATAATAGATAGTTACTGGACTTCATTAAAATGCCCTGAGTAAAAATATATCAAAAAAGTCTAAAATGCCACACTCTGCATATTAAGTGCAACAAGTGATTGCTGCTAAATTTAATGAGACAAGTACATTATAGTCAAAGCCCATACACAGCTTTGCAGTTTAACAGTAAGCCCAAAGACAAATGAATAAATGGTTAAAAATATGGTCTAAAATTTCCCAATAGAAAAGATGTGGTTTAGTCATTTTTATTCATTCTCTAAAAGAAAAATTATCAAATTCTCTCTAGGCTTACTATCCAAAAAAGTAAGTCAAATGAATTATAAAAGTCAAACAAGAATAAAATCTTCCTTATAATACCTGAATTTCTACTCTCCTCCCCAAAAGTTGCTTATTTAAAAAATATATCTTCAACATAGATTTCCACAATTCTGTGGATGCTGATTGTTTTCTCAATTACTATCATTTCCTTAACCTTCTTTTCCTACAGAAATGAACTGATATAAAGGTATACTGATTAAAAAGCTATCTTTTCCAAGAAATAACAAGTGTTGGGGAGGATGTAGAGAAAAAATAACTTTTATGCATTGTTGATGGGGACATAAATTGGTATCGCTGTTGTGAAAAACAGTATGGAGTTTCCTCAAAAAAACTGAAAATAGAAATACCATACAATTCAGTAATTCCACTACTGGGTATTTACCCAAAGAAATGAAAACATTAATTTGCAAGATATATGCACCCCTAAGTTTATTGCAGCATTATTTATAACAACCAAGATATAGAAGCAATCCAAAGTGTCCATCTATTGAATGCATAAATAAGATGTGGTATATATAAAATGGAATATTTCCAATATGTATACAACATGATCTTGCCATGTTGTTCCAAATGGCAAGATCATAAAAAAGAATAAGATCTTGCCATTTGGAACAACATGAACGACCCCAGAAGGTATTTTGTTAACTGAAATAAATCAGACAGAGAAAGACAAAATACCATATGATTTCACTTATATTGATATATGGAATCTAAGGGAAAAAAATGAATAAACAAGCAAAACAGACCCATAAACACAGAGAGAAAACTGGTGATTTCCAGAGGAAATGTGGGTGGGGGGTGGGCAAAATGGGTGAAGGAGAATGGGACATACAAGCTTCCAGTTATGGAATGAATAAGGGATGAGGATTAAAGATACAGCATAGGGAATGTAGTCAATGGTATTGTGATAGCATTGTATGGTGATAGATGGTAGCTACAATTGTGGTGAGCATAGCAAAATGTACAGTTACTGAATCTCTATGTTGTACACCTAAAACTAATGTAACATTGTGCATCGACTATACTTTAATTAAAAAAAACTAAATCCGTCGTTTCTTGTTTAAAAAGGGTGAATATTAAATTTGTTGAAGATGCAGAAATGTGTTACTGTTACTATTATATGTAATAATTTATTATTGTTGCTGTTGTTGGTTAACCTATTTGAAAAGAGGCAGAATTTTTGACAGATGTTATAAATCTATACAAAATATCCTCATTGCCTATAGCCATAGTCCATGATAATAATAAAAACTAGAACAATTAAAAAGTTCTTTCCATGCATAACTCTGAAGTGGGATATTAATGGGGGATATTAATATTATCTCCTTTACCCGCAGAAAAACAGATAAGTATTCAGAGGCTATTATTCCAAAATCATATTGTTACATTTGGGCAAAAGAGAAACTCAGATCCAAGTCATCTGAATCAAAATCCAGTGGTTTTTAGAAAAGAAATGTGTCAGATTTGATATCTTATATCTGTGAATATGTCAAAAATTACCTTCTTTCTAGGTGATTTGTAAATAAAATAAATTTTAGACAACTATCATAGTTCTGAGCCATCCTTGATCTATGTCCCATCCAGGTCTTCCATTTATTTTCATTTATGTGGCACTGCTCCAAGTGGAGTTAATGGTTATATGAATCGTTTCTTCTACTCTCCTTGAACTTTCATATTTAGTAAGTGCTCTGGCATAAGGAATTCTCACCAGATGTCCACAACAAGGCTCTTGTCATTCTTCAGAGTCTTGCTACTGTATCTGTCACATGGCATTTATGTTAAGTGAATGACAGAGAGTTGAATATGGCAATGATAATAGGTAAATGTTATAGATGAGTAATTGTTATTAATGAATATCTTAATAGTGTTGTTATTTAATGTTTGCTAAGATTCATGTTTTCTCATCAATTATATTCTGCCAAAAGCCTCTCTGAATTACCTGAGCTCTAGCCCCACCATCCAGGTCTATATGGATTCATCATATTACCAAGGGCCAGTGAAAGCTAAGCTCAGAGATTCATAATTTAATATATTTCATGAAATGTAATTTTAATTCAGTTTAAGGTATTTTTATTGCTACTTTAGAGGAGTTTCTTTCTGGCTTAACATATAAATGTTTTGTATTTTTTTAATAGTCACCTACTATACACATTACAAGTAAAAGTATGATTTTACTTTTACTATGAGACATATATACTGAATTACATCAAACACCCTTTCAACATCTATACATAGTTCATATAGTTTCTTCTTGAACTAGTAATACTATAAAATTATAACAATATATTTTCTAATGATGAACCTTCTTTAAGTTCATGAGATGAAGCCCATATAACCATGATGTACAAATCTAATACACTATTGCATTATTTTAGTGGCTAATATTTTATTATGTATGTTTCCCTTTATGATTATAATTAAATCATATAAATATATGAATATATTAATCATATAAATATATTAACATATATTTATATATAATTAAATCCTATGACTATAATTAAAATTAGTATTTATTATTTATGTTACTCTTGTCAATTTCTTTAAAAATGTTTATTTTGAGAGAGAAACAGAGAGACAGAGAGACAGAGAGACAGAGGGAGAGAGAATCCCAAACAGGCACTGTCAGCACTGTCAAGGGAGAGAACCTCTGCACTGTGAGCAAACACCCCCACATGCAGCTCGATCCCATAAACTATAAGATCATGACCTGGTCCTAAATCAAGAGTGGGATACTCAATCAACTGAGCCACCAAAGGGCCCCTATTCTTGCTAAATTTTGATATCAGAGTTATGGCTACAAGGCAAAATCACAAACTATGTTTATTGTTTTACACTGTGGAAAAATTAAATTGCACAGAAATTTTATCTTTTCTTGAACATTGGAAAGGAATTTCTAGTGATATCTCTTGGGCTATGGGTTTTAAGTTTTGCTTTTGTTCTCTTTTGCTTCAAAATATACTTTTGAAGAGTGCTTTTTACAACTTCTATTTATACTCTAATTATTTTTTTTTCTCTTTGAAGTAATTTTATTTTTATTTT